CCAACAATGTTGGGAGTTGTTACCTCTGTTTCACGTAGATAAAAGTTTGACCGGTTTCAAACTTTGCGCAACTGAACTCCCAACAACACGCAACAACATGCAACAGGGTGCAAATGGACACAACAGATAACATTCAACAATGTTGGGTCCGTTTGCACGGAGTTTACTCATTATTATGTTGTAAATTTTACAAATAGACGAGATGAATCTAAACAAGTAAGTTTTCATCAGTTTCAGAGGGCAGTTCTTCTTGAGGTAGTAGGATGGTTTCAGGCATTTCAAGAGTTTGCTGCCACCATGTAGAACCAGTATAAAAGGCAACAGTTGAACACAACATGAGATGGAGACCATGAAAGCACCCTGGTCCATGAGTGCATTGGCCCCATATAATAAAGAAATCTGTTTGGAGGAGTGCACGAAAGAGCAGATTCAAAATCTCCCTTTCCCCTCCCTCCACCAAAAATGTTGAGGAACATTAGAGGGTGAATTTTTGTATATTTTCAATATCAGTACGAAAATTAAACAAATTTAGGTTCTATGATCTCAATCTGAAAATTTTTAACCAAGAACATACTTAGAATTACATGTAGAACATTACGTGTAATAATGCAATCCCCTTTGAGTTGACCTGGAAAATCTGTTTTCAAAATGCTCATTTCATGCTTCTTTCATTACTTTTGCGTTTCCAAATGATTTCTTGCAAAGATGTTAATAAGAGGTCTCCCTTCCTTCAAAAGGAAAGTTTAAAGCTTTCATGCCTTTGTCGGAGAACACCCCATGATATCTACACATCCTCACAAGCTGCAAAATCAACCCACTTTCAACGAGCCTCAGGGTTGGAATTGTGGAATTGTAGTCTGAGACAACAATGAAACTGCCTCCCTTGATTCGGACCCTTGATTTTAACTGTGATCTTAAGACGCATTGGTTTCTTGTGACCGCTTGCAAATTTGGGGGGACGTGGCCCAGAGAGAACACTTTTCCAAACTGCCATGAATTGTGCTTTTCCTCTACAATCGTTGCAACTTAAGTAATGCGTTTTCAGCAATTATTGTTTCTTTCTCAAAAATATTCAAAGACTTTTCAGAGGATGAAATGGCGGTATTTGAAACCAAAGAACCATCATCAGTGTCTGCACAATTAGCTACAATTGTTCAATCTCAGAAGGAGTAGTCTTGACTAAATTACAAATGCTCCATTAGTTACCTTGTTTGTAATATCATAGGGGACAAATTACTCTTTAATTTTGGTGCAAAATTTCAATGTTAATTTACAACGTTCCGTACGTCTAAAGGTTGGTTTTCATTAGCGATGGAGCTGAAGTCGCAAAGACGCTTATGACTTTTTAGTAAAAATAAAAAATCGGAGTCGTAAGAATCAGAATGTTTCCATTTTCTCCTTCTCCACTTACTACTCCATCGTTACGTTCTAGTGAAAACCAAATTGTCGGAGGCAGAAGCGGAAGGAAAAACCAATCACAATGCATGTTCCCGCGCTTTTGTGATTGGTTTGTTTCATTCACGTCTACTTGCGACTCCGACAACCAAGTTTTCTCTTGATGGTAAGCGACAGAGTCGTAAGCAGAATCAGAACGCGGTTTTCACTAGACCATAAAGTTTTACGCTTCTGATTTAATACGACTCCAACTCTGTCACTGGTGAAAACCAGCCTTAAAGCTACGTGAAATCGGACGCAACAACTCTCAACAAATTAAATCTTCAAGTACAAAGTCTTATGTTTCTATCGTGAGTTTTTTTGTCGACTGAAAAAGCATATTCTTCCTTCCCACGTTTAAAGAATTTGGAATTAATTCTATTTATAAATACTCTTCTACTACACGGCTTAAATCCAAGACCTTTGCTCTACAATATCTCCGCCAAAAATCATCTAAATTGTCTCAAAAACCTCTTGTTCGAAAACTTATTTTCTTTGAGTTTTCGTCACCATTTTGGTTGTGGCAATATTTTTGATCAGCGGCTTTTATTTGACGATAAACAACTATGTATTTGACCACTCGAACTTTCCAGACATTATGAGCCCGGGAATCACAGTAAAAACCAGCGGTTAAAACCATTGCGAAACAGTATGAATGTAAGTCGCGCGAAATTTGACGTGCGAGATTTCTGGACATAGTTGCTGCGTCAGATTTGGCAGTGGTGTGTAAACGGATGCAACAACTCCCAACAACACGCAACAACATGCAACAGGGTGTGCAAATGGACAATTTGAACGGAATTATCCAATTTTTAAGCTAAATGATAAACATCTGGACAATATAAGGTAATTTCTGACTACGATGGTAATATTCTTCCGTTTTTTCGTAAATTTAACGTGTTGTCCATAGAGAACTTCAAGTTTTATTTCAAATCTTGGACGTTACAAAGAATGTCGCACATGACGAAACATGTCAGTAAAGCTGGTAAAGTTGACCCGGGTGATAGGGGGCGCTTTCCATTTAGTCAAAATTTCCGGAATTTGCGGTTCGGCGGTAAATGGAACACGTTTCGTCGGTTCATCCCACTGGAAAATTCCCAGAAAAAAGTGGAAAATCTAAAAAGGTGGGCCTGTTTTCCCGGTTGGAATTTCCGAACGGTACGTCGTGTGTTTCTCGTAGTCTGACCAGTTCCAGGTCCACCGTCGGGCACCGCGACGTACCGGGGTTTACGACCAAATGAAACAACTTTTTACCAATGGGAAATTCCACTTTTGCTCCCACCGAAATTTCCGGTTTTTTTTCCTAAATGGAAAACGCCCCCTGTAACCTAGGGTGCTTACCATTTGACAGAAAATTTCGAAAATTCCGGATGGAAGGTAAATGGTAAGGTCACTTTTCAGAAATTCCAACCGAAAATTGAGGAGTACGTTTTGAGGTAGTCCTTTCATTCCGGTTGGTACGAACCAAACGGAATGTTTCTTACCAGCTTACCATTAACCAATTTCTCGGTTCCTTCCCGGTTCCAGACTTACGCTACACAAATTCGCCCTTTTTTGGATTCAAACTGTGACAGATGTGGCATTTCTACGGTAAACTGGTAAATTGCTTGCCATTATGCTTTCGACACCCCAACCGGTTTTTTCTGTCAAATGGTAAGCACCCCTAGGCTCGATTACCAGCCGCTGTTCGGAAAAATGAGCCCGCACTCATCCTTTGGGGAGGATCAAAGACCGGACCTGGGAGACGGCGGAAATCGAGCCTAAGGGTAACCCTACCTGTGAAATTTGCATAAACCCGGGCTATCTTTAACCCACTCGCTAGGGTAACCCTAGCACAAGGGTAACCCTCTCTCCGAGTTTGTGTGCTATGATTTGTCAAATTAGCTGGTTATATTTCACTGTACAGCGGGCTAAACTCAGAAGTTTGATTCGGTCACCAAAATGAGCCTTCATATATAGATTTAGCCAGGGCTAAAAGGGAAGCTCTCGATAATATTTACACTTTGCTCCAACAAAATATAAAATCCTTTGACGCTATTAAAAGCGGCGAAGGCATCGAGAACGGTGAAAAAACAACAAAGCTCTAATTAGCAAAAAGCAACTTTGCACGTGCGGCACACTTTTTTGTACATTTCTTTGCCGTTGTTTTGCACGAATACAACGTGAAACGTCCAGAAACTTCCTAGTTACACGTTTTATGAAGGAAATGCCGTACGTGTTCTTGTTCACTTCTTTTTTTCACTGCCGCGGTAAAACGCTCAACATCGCTATTCAACTTGTTCTGCAGCAATGTTGCAAGTCAAGTTACACGTTTTTTGTTGCCCCCTTGATCCAAAATTTCACCTCATATTCCTTCCCCGATGCGTGCGGGTGTACGCTGAAGTCATAACCAAATTTTCTCGGAAGGATAGATTACCAGATTTTCTTAGCTATGGGGCTCGGCTTGCGCGCTCCGCTATTAACCTCGTTTCCTTGGTCCGTACCTCATTTTTTGGCTGGGAATTATGACCTACACACTTCAAAAATCCGAGCGGAAAAAACTCTGTCCGAAACTTACAGTACGGACCTCAAACTTGGTTAGCAAGAGGTCTAAATTATAGTCTCTATACCTTCCTGCATTCACCGGGGATTCAGCTCTCTCTTGCAACAGGTTATAAAAATTCATCCAAAAATCATTAATAATTCATAAGGAAAAAAACAAAAGAAATTAATGTTTAATTAGTGTGTTTATATCTTATTCAAAAACTCATTAAATATTCATAAACAAAAACGAAAGAACTTAATAATTAATGAGTGTCTTTATATCTGATAACGACACGGTTAAACTTTATGTCTAATTTTTTAGATCAAAATAAACCCAAATCCAAGGGCCTGTTTACATGGGGTTGGGGGACTCCAGGTAGGTCAGGTAACCCGCTTAGGTGGGGTAACCCGCCTGTCCATATAATCTCTCATTTTAAATTGCTCACGTTTAGATGATAGGTGGGGTGACCCGCCGCATGTTACCTCACCTACATGAGGTCTCCCACCTCCATGTAAACAGGCCCTAAATATCAGTGCAAGAAGACTTGCACTGATATTTAGAAGACTTGCACTGACTGAAGACTGACTGACTGACTGACTGAAGACTGAAGACTTGCACTGATATTTATATCTACTTTGGACAACAAGTCAGTTAACTACTGTAATAATAAGTACAATGAAACTGTTATTGGTTCGAAAGCTGAGCACGTAATGCATGAGAAAATGGCAATATTTTACTGTCTGCCCAATAATCTTGACTCTTTGATTGAGCTCAGGTATAAGAAGCCGGGCCAGGGGCCCGTTTCTCGAAAGTCCCGGTAACTTTTCGGGCCCGAAATCAAATATTCACATCGAAATATAAAGAATAAGAGCGCGGGTACTGGCTAACAAACTACTCCATTTTGTTTGACTAACTGATAGTTTTATCATGCTAGATGCAAAACTATTGAAACCTCGATCTTTAATGTAAACGGAGACAGCTTACCGGGCCCGTTAATTATCGGGATTTTCGAGAAACGGGCCCCAGGGTATGTCCAAACCAATCACGATCTTATCGAATGCTTGGATGTGTAACTTTTAGGAAGAGGTTCTAACCGGGGGGACCTCACGTGCCTCCCCACAGTAGTCCCTGAAGGTACACCTTCCACTACCACTTCAAGCGCTTCATTGTTGTCATAAGACCCACTATTAGTGCCATTCTCGAGAAGCCTTCTTCCGCTCGCGGTATGTTTGACTTCCGTTGAGTAGGCAAATGAAGAACCACTACTCTCGGCGCCGCGATTTTTGAAAGAGGTGGCCGATTCTGTAAGTTTATTCCCAGGCCCCTTCCGCACACCTGCTTGAGCAAGAATTCTTGACACGTGAAACTTTTCCTGTAAGAGATTAAATACGGGATATGTTAAAACTCTGGGTATTCTCCTTTTGTAAGGTGCAGTTAAGTTCACCCCATCTACCTTGGAAAGGGCCATCTTGACATCAGCAGGAGTATCAGGAATGATGTAAGCGATCAAGAACTTTATTGAAAACACAATATGCTGAAAAAAGTAACAAATGCACATTAGAAAGCTGCAGCTATGACAATAAAGAGAAACAATAGCAATTTTAAGGGAGCCTTCTGCATTTGTTCCAGCTTGTTTTACTTACATATAGGAGGAGCTTCAGAGTTGCTAATACAATAAAAAATAAATAAAAAAACAACAAAACAATCAACAAACTCTTTTTCAAACTCTTCAATAACATCGATACTGCTTTTAATTGCACACAACGGCAGAGAAACGTGCCAAATTTAACAAGTGAAGAAGCACCATTTTCTCCTGTAAGCCGCTGTTCTAGGACGCTCTGGTTGCCTGCTTTTCTTAAACTCTCTATTTACAATTTCCTTGGAACTGCTAGTAGACTTTTCCACTAAAAACTGTAAATATAGGATATAGGTGTAGGCTCTGAAAATGGAGTTGTTGTCCTCTTCTAATTGAAAGACTTACTTCAAAGCCAATTATAAGCCACAGTCTACTTGGCCCAGCTAAATGCTCCGTAAAAATAACAACTTGATCTGTTGCATTTGAAGTGCTGTTAAACACTAACTCAGTTCTGTTGCTTGTTGTTGGATCACCTTCCCATGAGCGACCGTAAGATGATGTAAAAGCCACCAGGAATGAGTTGGTAACCACGCCTGCAACGTTTAGGAACTCCAAAATGCTGTACCACATGCCTGACACAAAAAAGGGACGGAATAAATTACGGTGATCATCGGCTCGGCACAGATGAACAAAAGAGTTGCCGGGATTCTGCAGGGTGTTTCTTTGTGTTGTGGAAACCATTATTGGTTCGCTTTTGTATTCCGGTATGGGAGTTGCACAGTGTCTTTTCAAACTTTTGTATTGATCGCACCCGACCGCAACACCGCGAACCTACCGAGATTCTAGAGACAAGTAGGAATTTTAACAAATCAACATGGCTAACAATAATGTGCAACGAAGAGGATCTCTATTGGCCAGCTGTACATGTCGAAGATTCCGAGAACAACTACAAAACAGTTGAAGGCACTCTGTCACACAGGACGTATGCGCGCAACCGAGAAGCGTTGGGTAGACTTTGGGAGAATTGTTAACTCTGCTTCAACCAAGTTATATCTCAGTTATCATTACACACCTTATTTTCACGTTTACGGCCTCCTTGCGTTAGAATTATTATGATTATTATTATGGTTTGTAGTATCAGCAATGTCGAGGAGGTCTTGCGTTCGACGTAGAAAAGGTTGTTATACTGGGGGAAACCCTTAACTATCGCATCACTCATACTGAATGGAAAAAACATTTATACTGTTGGTGCATAGAGGTAACCGAGGCGATTTACTAACCTATATCTTCAGCTCTGAAGGCAACGGGTCGTCTGTCTATCCACAACAATCTACTGGCATCTATCTTCATATCAATAGCATTTGTCAGCAGTGCGATCAGTGGGGCTAGCGGAAATGCTGCGGCAAATAACTGAAACAAAATGAAGCACGTTAAATGAAAATAAATAAGTAAATAAAAACAAGAAACAAAACAAAACACACAGAAGTAGAAATGCAACAAAAAGTGAGAAGAAATGTCTAATCTCTCGCATTTGGGGAGGTGGGTTTCAAACACAAGGCGCAGCCAAGATTTTTTGCACTCACTTTGATTCATTTAGACTGGGGGTATCACAAGTCAGCTGCCTCACCCCACTCTACTGTCTCAATAGCTTGTGTTGCAGGTGCAATAATGAGAGAAAAGGGAATGGAATACCCTCTCTCCTTTTCCCTTGCCCCAACCTCGCCCACCACCAACCCTTTCGAAGGCTGCCACGTACCACATAGGTTACTGATCCGAGGGGAAAAAAACTGCTCATAGTCTATGATATCTCCGTTTTTTCCCTCTATTTACAAATAATTGGTGAGTTTGACAAACGCCGGATAGCAACATGCAACTGGTCATTTTTGACACCCGGTGATGAATTCCTTTTTTGTGAAGAGATGAATATCTTATGTTGTTTTATAAGGTTGGTGGTTGCTGTTAAAATAATTTCACCTACCATAAGAAATCCATACTGAAGGACTGCAAATAAAAAAGAGAAGAAGATCTTGTCAATACTAGATTTTTTTAGTTGACTTTACTAACCACACAATCACCATGACAACCTTGCGTGAATAACATGTATCAGATGACAATGTATGGTTACTGAAGGTTGTTTTACTTAAACCTATTAAAGAACATAAGTACCACGTTCCTTGAGAAAGAAATTAGTCTACCTAAGCTAATGGGAGAACCCTTGTTACATTTTTTGCTACATTAGCATAGGATTATCATTATCTGATAAAGCTAATAAAATGAAATTTCTGAATATTGAAAGAGCAGAGCAATTTCAGTTATCTCTGAAAATTTGAGCCCGATATACCAAATAGTTTCGGAGAAACTCTCTTTGAAAAACCCCCAAATTTACAAAGAATGTATGAGCTCATTAACGTTTTGCCACCCAGTAATTTTGCAGTTTTTAATTGCTGCTATTGTCTTTGTTACTGATTGCAAAGAGCTGATACTTGCACAACCTGCATAAATTAACCAGCTCTTTTAATTTTTAACCTGATTGGTATATACAGCTACATCTTCTATGGGTTAACCCGTATGCTAATGAGCAAAAATGTAAACAATGACGTCATAATAAATCCGCCTATATACTTTACCTTTTTCATTGTACTCGGACAGTGTAAAATCCCCAAGCGGTTCCTTGAGTCTTTCGTTTTCCAAGTAATCTTCTGCGCGAGACCTCATTTCACCGCTTGCTCCTACTTTCTTGCGACAAGATTTCCTCTTCCACAAACCCTTTAACCAGCTACATCAAGAAAAGCAGAAAAAAACGTTTGCTGCGTTGTACTTAAACAAAACCGGCTATATCATTTATCATTGCTACCGTCAGTAAAGGTACGGAAAAACGGGCAACAAAAAAACGTTCAACTTGTTTTGCAACATTGCTGCAAAACGAGTTGAATAGCGATGTTGAGCGTTTTACCACCCACATCAAACCTGTCTTGCAAAAAATCAGCTTGTTAACAGGTTTAAACATGGGTGGTAAAACGCGCAACATCGCTATTCAACACGTTTTGCAGCAAAGTTGCAAAACAAGTTGAACGTTTTTTGTTGCCCATTTCCGGCACCTTAAAGGGAATTAGAGCATAACCACTCTTCATGGAGCACTAGAGGCGGCTACTAATCGAACTATTTACACCAGTTATAAGTCTTATGATCGTTTTCGCTCATCTATACGTCTCAGTCAGATAATCAATCAACGATCAACTCAAATACGACACGGTCTACGACACAGAGACCGAAAAAAAGAACCACAGGCCACAATGATGGGAGGCAAGCGCCCTGTGCTCTGAATAACAGAGTATTGCGCCTATTGAAAGGGTGCAAGTAACAAAGTTAAGGAACGTCATAACAACTCCTTTTTCCGATAGGAACATTGCTCGAACTGCACGTACTATGCAAGATATAAAAGAGAATTTCAGCTTTTGACCATACTCACGGTTTTATAATGTCAGAGAACAGTTTTGGAAGAGGCTTCATGATCATTAACATGGCGACTTGAAGAGACAGTAGAGTCATACAGTCGTTATTTGAGCCGCATTCGTCGCTGTAGTTTTGCCCTTTACCTAAAACACCCGTCTCCTTTGTGTTCTGATGAGATAAAGAAATGAAAGGATAAGCTGAGTAAACGGTTAACACAAGCGAAGGGCCGCGGAGAAAAGGAGGCTGCTTACTAGACTTTCTAATTATGGCTGGTTTAATAGCTTGTTTTCGTCAGCTTCCTATTCAGAGGAAGCAGTTGAAAGATGTTTAGCAAAATACTAACTTCTATTTATTAGGAAGAGTTCGTAATCGGTAAATAAAGTGTCCAGATTTAAGGCGGTTAAAACAAACTAAGGATCAGGATGCGTTAGATTTAGATTTATGGAATATTAGAACAGTGGAAACAATAGTAAACAAATAAATTGCTCATAATAAACTATCAAGCCACTTCCCTGAAAATTAAATATATCCGACTACATTGTTCGAAGCATTCTTGGAAGGTACTTTGCTAGCCTGTGAACAGGCTCTCTGTTTGGGGGAAAAAATAGCAAGGAAAGTTCCCCGCTCGACCAAAGGCATGTTCACAGGCTAGTACTATGCAAGCCACCTGACCAAACAGCTTGAAGAAACCCTTCCCCTTTGGCATTTCACCCAAATTCAGTCAACCGAGTGATTACTAATGTAGCCTGCGTGGCAGGCGTTCGAAAGGGAAGGGGAAGGGGATTGAGGGCACGAGACCACGCGCGAGGGAGAAGGGAGGAGGGTTCCTTTGATTTCTCCCTCGCGCGCTCTCGCGTGCCCAAATTCCCCCTTTCCCTTCCCATTTAACGCCTACCGCGCAGGCTATTCCTAATGATTCTAAATAAACATGCAGTGATCGAACTGTATTCCTACCTGACGAAAGAAAGCAATGTAAAAGAGGGAAGTGTATGAATTGACAAACTGAAATCCAAACAACTTTATGATAAGCGCATCATCATAAGAAGTCTGTGTGCGATGATTTTCTGTTAAGAAAAGAGAGGAAAGTCACGGTCATACTATTATTAATTATAGTCCTGTATTTCTTCTCAGTTCCGTATTGCGATAAGTCAGTTGTCTTATTCATTCAAAATATTTTTCCTTTTCTGATTGGCTCCAATCCAATCTCTGGGGAGTTGCATGCGAGACTGAGAGAAAATGGATGAAAAAAAAAATCAAGGCCATAACAAACACTTTTGAAAAAACACATTTGTTTTTGACCAAACAAGAATTAATATGTTTGCTCTACAGGCCATTTGCAATATGACGTCATTTCACCACTACAACCAGAATCCTTCAGGGATTTGCTTTCTAAGGCAGTTAAGGGTGTTTGTTATTTAGAGCTTGCTGGGATAAACAAATTTTAGAATATGAAATAAAACGGAAAGGATTCTAGTCGAAGTTAGTAAGATAATACCATCGTGCAAATGGCCTATGGCCAAAAGGAAAGGTCACAACATTCTGAATTCTGAATTCTCATTACCCTTCACTCACCCCAATCAGTTAAGATGACAGCTAACTTCTGATAAACCTAAAATTTGAAGAAACCAAAATGCACTAGAATAAGATTTAAGTTTTCCTTTTCTAATCAAGACATTTAATTTTGAGAGGTGTGTTTTTGTCTTTATCGCAGTCCTTAAAAAAAATTATAATTTCCCTCATTCCACTATTCATATATGAGCTTCGGCGAATCATATGCAAAGGTTAATTTGAATTATCTGGTGAACGGTTAAAAAAAAAAACAGCAAAAAAGCTACACGTGAGCTTGGAGCTTCTGCCTGTATCTCAGTGTCCTCTGGCTCTAAAAAGTTTGAAATGTTTAAAGACCAAAACATTTAAATTGGCACCATTTAACTTCATGAGTCTAGGCAACAGAAGAAGGTATTTTTCATTTGCTGCTGTAAAGTTAGACATGGAAGTTGGATGAAGAAGTTTTGAGTATTAGCTGATCAGCTACAAACCTTTCCCATAATCATAATAGAACAAGTGTTGATGAAGGTTGATGTGATGCTTGCCAACAGTAGGCCCACTTCACCTCGTTCTTTAAACAAATCTTCTCTTGCAATGACGCGGTAAACTATTACTGCCATAGCACTTGCTAGAACTAAGCAAATCTGTGCATGAAAATTATTCACATAAATTAAAAAGTCTGCATCGTCACACTTTACTTTGATAGAAATCTAAAACAATAAATTAACAGAAAAAAATGCAGAAGTAAAGAAAGAGAAAGTTGTGTGACTTGGCCGCCATACAACTGCTGACTCACTGTCAAGCTTTACTACTATCTAAATTTGGTGGAAAGTCAATTATGTAGGAATCACCAAATGACAGAGAACGTAAGAATGCTGCTAAAACTTAAACAGATCAAAGTATATAAAACAACATGTAAATAACTGACAGCAGTGAAACATACAGAGTGCAGACGGCTTATAAGCCGCCAAGATTAAGGCAAACACAGCTTCAATACACACAATGTTGAGATTCTTACCATAAACAACATGATTCCAAAGGAGCCTGACATCTTACAAAATCTACTGATGAAAGGATAAACAGATATTTCTTCTCCTGTCACAGGGTCCTATAACAGGACAGATCAGCAAGTATAAGTTCACTCTGCACAGTAGGTAGTCTACACACTACAAAATGTTGGAAAATGAGGAAAATTAATTCTGATGAACAAACAATTCACACCTGAGATAAAATCTTACCCTTCTCAAGACTGTTCCATAATATTGTGGACGACTGGGCTCCTTAAGATAAAACAGAGAACATTTAACATAAAATGTGGACTAGTAAAAAGTACTCGAGAGTTTGCATCTTCTCATTATGCTGTTATAGAACAACAAGACCTTGTTTTTTCGGCAGTGCACTAATGGAAGGTAAGTTTTGAGTGAATGTTTGGTACTGGGAGACCTCATGCATACTCTTAAGTATAAAAGGCGACGATGAACTTACAGAAAAAACAGAGTTGACACTAATTTAATTAAATTCACGCCTTGACTAATTCTAAGTTACAGACTTTATAGCCTGATATTTACAAGATGAATGTGTCTATAGAATTAACATTTAAGTTTGAGTGTGATGGCTAAGTGAACCATTTGGTTTTCTTGTTGGCCACCACAGCACTAATTACATTTACAATCAATACAGACGAGGAACCAGAAAGAGCAAAAATAAATAAACAAACAAAATAATAGAACAGAAAGGAACAATTACGGTAATTACAATTACAGCAAAATAAAAAAAGATATTTAAGAAAAGTAATACAGACAATTTTTAAAAGAAGTGAGTTTACGCAGAACTAGGTACAGTTAGGTAATTCAACAAGTACTGCTCGGACAGTAGATAATGCTTGATTTTTTTATGAAAAAGCGTACTCATTCAGTTGGTATCACTGTGGAATGCTATTCCAAAGATCAATTGCCTTAAATAAAATCATCTGCTTGCCAGTATTCATTCTTATACGAGGTTTATGTAAGTTTTGATTGGCTGCATATCTAGTATTGTAGTTATGGACATCACTTAGTGTAAAGAAAGGTGTCATGAAAAATGTCAGGTAGTAAACCTGTATGCCAGAGATGGGTAAATTTTAAAGCATGCAGAGAATAAATGTTCTATATACTGTTGTGTACTGTGAGTGTGTCTAGCAAATTCATACAACACATATGCATGCAGTGAATGGTTGAAGTCCTTCAAGTAATCATTCCAGGGAATTATGAATAAATAAAGTAAACACTTCTAAAATGAGGCCTATGTAGCAGTGAAAGTGAAAAGAAACCACCATAATATTTCTTAAGTTAACCATTCTCACAAGCCGACCAGAAAGTACCCAGTATGCATTCGAGAATTCTACCTAATTAAAAGCCTGGGTTTTTCTAGTTAACCACTCCAGCTGATATGTACAGAAGTATTACCTGTTCTTCAAAGTTATCTACATCCCACTGGTAAGCCAAGCGAGCATTGGCCCTTTTCCATCGTTCCAAAAATAATGTGCCTACAAAATAGACATGAGTCACTTTAACTTCCATTTGAGGGGAATCCACTACAAGAAGCTATGAAGCAAAGAGGCAGGCTACTTAGGAGGTTATTGTTTGCGTTTAGGAGATGACAGACAAAGATGAATATAAGGTATTGTTATAGGGTTAGCACTGGGATACAATGAGATTTCAAATTAGCCCAGCCCACAAAGACAAAGAAGAAAAAAACTACCTGAACTTAGTACATAGACAGATTTTTTTGGACTGGCAAAGGGTGAGAGAGTATGAGAAAGAAACGACAAGAAACCTGACAAGAAACGAAAACAGAATCAGGTGGTGATCATGAAAACTGTTATTCTACCTAATACGTACCCAGCTCCATTCATTATCAATGAACTTTTAACTCTTTTGCAAGTGTAGCCAGTGTCAAAAACGTTGTCACGCTAATCAAGAATCATGAAACAATTGTGTTCCTATCCACTGGTCAAATGGCAAGCCATAATAAAAAATAATATTAATGGTGAGCCGTAAAATGGGTCTTTCGAAAGGAATTACTTACCCCACAGGCAAATAACTAGGGCAAAGTAAGGTGTTGCATCATTGTCAAATGCATTTTTGGCCCAAAGCATGATGGTCGACGCTGTAGAGTTCTGACTATTCAGTGGATAATCTCTTATGCTGAAATAAAAATAGGATACTTACTAGTTTCATGTTTGATCTTTAACTATAATAGCTCATATTGTCAGTATAAAGAGACAACAATCCTGAACCTGAAAATTAGTGCCATATACAGAGTACAGAAAGAGATTTGATAGCAAATCAATGAACATGAGTCAAGGCTTCTATCAAAAACCTCAGAATTACACACAAAGTAACAAAGCAAGAAATCAGTCACACAAGAGACAAGAACGTGAAAATTATGTCAGCACTAAAAAAAGTGAAATCATCGCTGTTAGATTTAAGTAGTGTTAAGCCAGCAGTTTTATGAGGAAAGAGAGAATTGTACAAGTGCAAGAAAACCCAATGATACAACTGGCATGAGTTAGAGAAAATCATTTTTTCAAGCAGGATAAAACACTGAATTGGTGGGTGAAAAGTACTTGATAAAAGTATCGTAAGAAGATGTGCATGACTGGATTGATAAAGGAGGTGGTAACAAGCAGGAAGCAATGAAGAACTCACCTACTAAGAGCTGTGAAGAATTGAAGATTGCTAGTTGAGACAAGAAGTTTCAAAGATATCTTAATTTGCATTTCATCTGTTAAGTTCATGCAAAGATTAATTAGAGTGTTCCTTAGCACCATATTCATGTTGCAGACGGTTCTTTAAATGTGGTCCCTTTGGTTGTAAAGAGAGCTTGTTCAAAATATGCAACACTAACAGCTTTCTGGACCATCAACAGGGCATAAATTAGTCAGAGGAATGATATCATGAACTTTTGAAACTCAAAATTTGACCCAGTTCTTTAAAGCTTCAAATCAGCATATCAAACCAAAAGAGTTTAGCAACCCGTTCATTTGCCTAAACATGTCTATTTTAACCAGGTGCCAGGTGTTAAAAAGTTGGATAGTGCTAGAATCCACCAGATCAATTAACATATTTCAGTGGATAAGTGCAGTATTAGCTAGGAAAAGTAACTGCATTATTGATTGAATAGTGATTTATCTGGTGGCTAATGTCAACCTATTGAACAACTGTGGCTGGTTCAAAAAGCTGTAAATATTGCAATGAGAGAAGATTTCTTGATGACCAAAGTGACCATTATAGTAGGTGGGTTCATACTAGCGAAGTAAGTAGACCTTGAGTATCTTTGAATCCTACTTTTAAAAAACGGGTCTATTATTTTACCTAAATTAGCCTACTTTTTGCCCATGGTAATGCAATGCCTTCAAAGAAAGCAAAGTACATTCTTAAGTCTAGTTCCAACCTTCCTTACTAGCTTACTTATGCCCTATCTAAACACAATTTCTGGAAAATAAATGTCAATTAAATACATACGACAGCAGAATCAGATGATGATGGTGTGACTGTACATCTCATGCAGATTGGCTTTTCACAATAATAATAGTAACTTGAACGTATGAAGACCTGTTTCGCTTTGTAAACAATGCCTTAAAAAGGCTCTTGTCTTTTAAGAAGCAATAGTTTTTGAAACGTAATAAGAAATAAGAAATAATAATAAATAATAAGAAATAAGTTGTCGGAGTTAAGGACTGTTTCACTGAGTAGAATCGCACGTGAAAACCTCGTGAATTGTGATGATGCAACCATCTACAACAATGATAAGAATCCTGGTATTCCTTAATTACTCGAATTCGATGAGTCACATTTTGGCTTAAGAAACTCCGAGGAAACCTTAGAGTTTTCCTTCTAATCAACGTTTGGTGAGTAGATATTTATTTTACTTTAATAATTTGTTTAACTAGCACCAAATGTAACAGGGAAAGACAGAGGAAAGTGAGTATATAGCATGAGGATCGACGCAGCTGCGCGTTTCGCGTTTTCATTTATGTACAGCAATACCCAATTTTGCACAAAACCCAGTCTACATTTAGGACGAAAAAGGTAGATTCATCACTCTTGGTAAGGTTACACTGAAGCATTAAAGTTACACTGAAGCATTCAAAATAGCTCATGCACGTTTAACGTGCCTATGTTTCTAAAATGCTAGTGTGAACTTCATGAGCCTTGTGAAGCAGACCCAGAAGCTCTAAATGTTTCTTGCAAAGAAAGTTATTTAGCAATGGATTGCCACTAAGTTTCTAAACCAGTTCTGTGGAAATAGCCAAGCCAAAGTTCTTTATTTGTCTCCATTGCACGGATTGTTGAGTCATGATTATCAACAACATTTGTCTGTTTCTCTGTCTTGTCCTAACTTCTTCCTCTGTGGTTACAGTAAAAAATTATGAGGAACAAACAGTAAGATTTAAGGTTGCGTTTTACTAAAGCATACAGTAGTTCAAATCCTACTCGCACTACATCAAGGGAACTTTTGCCACCTATAAACTTGATTAACAACCCCTATTACTACAAGCATACTTTGAATTCAAATGTGAAAAAAAATGCACTTATTATGGTATGGGGTTAGTATAATCATACATGCGCATGCTCTCAAATGTATGTGACCTGCCATACTTTAATTAGGTCTAATTACTTCACAAAGTATGAAATTAAACCACCTGTTATGCGCCTGTATAAAGTGCAGCCCACAACAAAAAAAGAGGATAGTAGCCCTCTCTTGTAGCTGAACAAAAGATCATAAGAGCAGCAAGGTACAGAATAGCACAAGAAGAAAGACTTTATCAAAAAACTGTATAGTTCGCAGATGGGAGGAGATCATAGCTATGTAGCCCAGGCATGCAAAGGATAGAAACAGGCATAGAAGGCGGCATTGGCTACTGCTGTCAGTTCATCTATGAGAAAATAGTACATACAGGCGAATAATAAATCACCAGAAGGGAAGCCCTGGCAACAAGATTTACATTAGCTCAGTAGTTTTGAAAGGGCTGGAAAAAATAGCTTTTAATTTCAAAATGATGTTTTGCAGAGAAGAAATAGCAGAACTTCTGTTTAATTACATGGCAAGAACAGCAAAGATAGGACTCAATGGATAACAACTGCTATTTGAAGAATATTGGCTAGACTAATAATCTCTTTATATCCTGAAATTGCAGAGGAAATTAAGATTTAAAGAACAGACAAGTTTAATGAAGATCTTTATCACAATCAAGGCAAGCATGACTATTTTAAAGTATGAATTATTTAAATGAATAATAAAACAAATATTATTATTAATTAGAAATGGCCTTCTTATTATGTAAAGAATTATGCAGATCTCAGGGGCAGGTGTTATCCTCGTTGGCCAAACACTTGCCTAGACCCGCATAATTCTTCGAAAATATTTTGCTAATCATCAAAATACTTACGCCACACTAAGACCCCAAAGGAAAATAGCAAAACCAAGAAACACAGGTATGATTAGGGAAGAAGTCAGCAGCCCTGAAAAATAATCACACAAAATCAGTTTCATAATAAGGGAACTACAACTTGAACAAAGACTACTCATCATTACTAACCAAGCCACCCAAAATAAAGAGCAATTTTCTCTCCAAAATAATTCCTGATCTTCCAAAGTGGTTGATATCTGAAATGTTTCAGCCATGTGTCTTGTAAGGCCTTGCGAGGATCAGCAATATCCTGGCCATGAAGAAAACTATTGTCATCACCCGCATCACTGAGTGGAAACTTTGAATCATAAACAGAGTTTTCGTGGACAATAAATGCATCAGTGTAAGCTCCTTCAATAAGCATGTACCCCAGACCTGGCATTAATAAAACAACATAAGAGAGATTAATTAATCTGGCAGTTACAAACATGAAAACTTCAAAAATGAAGTACATTCAACTTCCTCTCTGACATCTCTCTAACATGGACACCTCTATAACTAAGACTGCATACACCTATAGTGATCCTGACCTTTCTTCAGTCACTTTATGCTACTACTCTCTGAGGCAGACATGATTGTATCCCAGCAACTAAGAAGAACAACTACAGCTGTTTCCTTATTCTTTAGTCAGTTTCCCTGACTCTCTAAGATGAACACTGGTGTCAGTCCAAGGAGACTTACATGTAACAGTCATTTTATCTCCTGCTTCTTATTAAAATCTTTTTACCAGCTTGTAAATTTTGTGCATTTTTAGTCTTTTAACTTATTGAAAAGCACATTTGATCATGTGCCATGGAAAGTTGCACTATATAAGTTTTCATTACTTGTAATTGTATAACTTAATACTGATTTCAGTAATAAATAATTCTTAAAAACACACTAGTAAATATTAAGTGCAATCCATCCTTCATGTGTGTATGTATCTACTGAACAAATGAATTGTTTGGCTACTTTGAACATGCATAAGTTGAACATGGACTTGCGCGAAGTCACATTAGGGAATTCCGCCTATAGTTCCATGTCGCCTGTAAAATCGCGGGTCCCATGACTATTTGCATGCTCACAAAGGATACCTGTGCATGCCACACCCTTGACTCTAGACTGAAGTGTTAGCATATTGTTTCCACGATACAAAGGTTAAATTTAACTTAAGTAAATAGGTAATAATTCGAAGCTTTCACACTACTCTCCGTTTTATACATGTAGGAATTGCCATCACTCAACTTGTAAATTGTTTGGACTTTACAAAATATTTTATTGATGTAAGCCAGTAGAATGTATAGAATGCCAGAAAAACAAACAGGAAGTTGAACGGT